TTTATTTATTTATTTTTAGGGAGGGAAGGGAGGGAGATAGAGAGAGAGAGAGAAACATCAATGTGCGGTTGCTGGGGGTCATGGCCTGCAACCCAGGCATGTACCCTGACTGGGAATCAAACCTGCGACGCTTTGGTTGGCAGCTCCCGCTCAATCCACTGAGCTACACCAGCCAGAGTTATGTTTATTGGTTTGAGAGAGAGGAAGAGAAACATGGATGTGAGGGAGAAACATCCTTCGGTTGCCTCCTGTATGTGCCCTGACCGGGGACAGCACCCGCAACTTTTTGGTGCATGGGGCCGCAGTCCAACCAACCAGCCCACCCGGCCAGGGTGTGATGTCGTCTCTTTTGCCGGGCAACCTTCTCCCCTCTCCCTTGTACCATCATCATCCAGCTAAAATCGATTCCACTTCAAAGACTCAGTTCAAATACTACCTCCAAAACACCTGATCTGCACCCCAAGGCTGTATATATACCTCTGCTGGTTTTACTTGCTTGTGTCTTGGTAACCCACCCCCTCTGCCAGCACTGGGTCTTATCTATACTTATGTTCATAGGGGCTCTGGCCACTCCTGGCACCTAAATGAGCAGCCAGGAAATCGTTCGTAAATGAATGAACAAATGAAAGATTACAGCAGGTGTTACTGGTAGGTTTACTCAGTGACACGGTTGGACTGATGCCTTGGAAGGCAGCCCTGTGGAGGGCCCTTGAAGTGGAAAGACACCAGAATCAGAAGCAAGAGGAATCAGAGGCCTAAAAACAAAACAAAACAAAACAGCCCAGACAAGTGGTCATGAGGGCCTGGATTCCAGAGATTCGGGGCCAAAATAAATATTGGAAAATACAGCTTCTTGTGTTCACAAAAACACTTAACACTTCGCGAAGCTCTCTTTCTCACTGGTGAACATGCGCAAAAATAAAACGCTGCTGTCCCTCTCTAAAATGTTACTCCCTTCGTCAGAGTGAAAGGCAAAGCTCGTCACAGCGAGCCTCCGGGGCTGTGTGAAAAAGAACCTCTCCTGCCGAGTAGTTACAGACTGTCTGCCAAGGAGACAGTCTGGCTGATCTGCAAGCTGGGCCGTCACTGGACACTTCCCACCTGCTACGCGCAGTCACCTGACGAGCCTTCGCCCCCTGTCAGTTCTCTGCTGACGGCCACACAATAGCGTCACCTGTTCATGACATTTTCTTCTCCCTCCCTCGACCTCTGTGACACTGTCCTACTACGTGCGGTTTAGTTCTTTGACTGCTTCCTTTCGGTCCCCTTTGCTAGCGCGTCCTCCCCCATCCACACCAGAAGCAAACCAACACAAACCAAGCCAGTCCTCCCAGCTTGTCTGCGAGGCCAGTCCTTCTCTTACTCCATGGGACCAGTGTCATTTCCGTTCCCGCCCTTCACCGTAACCTCTGCGGGTGGCCTCGTCAGGAGCCTGGCCTCATTAATTCCGTATTTCTAGACTCTCTTTATTAAAAAATCTAGCTCTTCAGTGGGCACTTCAAATTTAACAAATCAAACACTGAATCCATCTTATTCCTGTTGGTCCCCAGGTCCACTCCTCCTCTTGCGGTCTTCATTTTGGTTCTGATGTGGCATGGCGACCTCTCCAGCTCTTCAGATTCAAAACTTGGATGCCATCTTGGGTCTCATCTTCCCTCCCACCATCCACACGTAATCACATGTCAACCGTCCACTGAATGGGCCTCTGGGCGGCAGTGCCCTTCCACTGCCATGACCTCCCACTGAGGACGTTGTGATGACAACCTGAAGTGTCCCTCTGCCTCCAGTCAGACCACGTACTGCTTCCCCGTCATGACCCAACTCTCCTAAAAAACACACAAAACAAAACAAAACAAAAGCCCCTTCATTTGGCTATACCTTGCACACAGAATAAAATTCAGATTTTGAGGGGTTTTACAATCTGGAGGTAATCTGTTCATACTTCTTCCCAATGAGCCCTTTTTTTTTTTTTAGGACAAAGTGAGCGATCAAAATGAACATCTCCCTCATTTCTCCCACAGCCCTTTCTGAGCACAAAGGTCACCTCCTCACACTCTGCGTTTGTCTGTCCTTTGTGTCTGTGTGGTCCTCTTGGGCGCTAGCGAGCCTCTGGTGGGCTAGTCCTTATCTCTCCACTGTGCTCCGCACAGCGCCTTTAGTGTAACAACACAAATGTTACCCCCCTCCACGGATGTTTGTCGAGTAAAACTGGTTGTTTATAGACCTTGCTCCCGTTCACATTTCCATGCAGACTTCAAGGATGACCCGGGGTCCAGTTATGATGTAAGGCTCCCGAGTCCCACTGCTGTCCTTCTGTTTGCTTAGAGATGCTCAGTGCTTCACGTTCACTCCTGCGCACCCAGGCTGCTTGCTGGGAAACCTACACGGACCACCCCACTGGAGCTACTCCAACTCCCGGACCCTTGCCTTCCCAGTTTCTCACCAAAATCTGCACATTCCAGAGATGGACTTTAGAGTTCTGTTTCTCCATTTTCTAGATCAAGAGAGTAAGGTCCAGGAAGGGGGCATGGATTGCCCAAGTTCATGTGAGTACATTAGTGGTATCTCTGAGACAGACCTTCCGTCTCCTGACTCCGTGTCCATTGCTCTTTCTTTCACACTTTGCTGCCATCCTGGACCTCAACGTCTTCAGCCTCAGGCTGCTGGTGAAGTCTGGCAAGGACCTGCTGCTAACTCTGCTCAGTAAGCATCTTTCTCCTAGCAACAGTTACCAGTGCTCTGACTCACAATGATGGATACTGGAGAGGGTTCACATTAGTACCCTCCTGCAATTATGTTGGTCTCATCGCTTTTCTTAGTTCCTGAATTCCCAGCTCAGGGAGAGGCGGTGTCTATGCTGAGCTGTGGAAAGCCTGCGCATTTCCTGCAATGTGCTTTCTCAGGACTGTGCAGGTAGCGCCATCCACTGTCTAACACAGTCCTCCTGCCCTCCACGGAAACCATGGCAGCAGAACTCCGCAGGCATCCACTGCAGCTTTACAACTTCCTGGGGGAAGAGTTCAGTTCATGAATGTGTTGTAATTTCTGTGAAGGGTGTCTGAAGTCCTTAAAAGCATTCATGAATGAGCCTTTTCAATACCACTTGGATGGAAGTCAGGAACTTCACCATTGAAACTGAGCGGTAATGAAATTCACTAGCCGCCACACAAGAGATGTATGAATACCCTGACGCACAACAAAAGCCAGCTGGATCAGCCAAGGGCAGTTGCTTCCACTAAATGCATTTACCTGAATAGGAACTTGAATGGTTTTCAAGCAACGACACTGTGTGCTTCCAAAGTGCCATGTGTTCTCGATTTACACCATAGAGCTAAGAGTCTAAATTTAAAATGTAATCTATTTTGGTATTACAGTCATGTTTTGGGGCTAAATCACCGGGACTGGATGATCTGAGGAAGCATGGCATTTTTGGGGGGGGGTGTGGAAAGTGGGAGCACTGAAAGCTTACCTTTTCTGCAAGCTTTGAGCACAGAATTACAGGTCTCTGATGCGTAAGGAACGTCACAGCATCCCTAATGCAAGCATCTGTTTTATAGGGGAAGAACTGACCCCTGGTGACCTGATAACATAGGAATCTTCGGTTCTATTTTGTGGAATTTGTTCTACTCTAAGAACAGGAATTACTGAGGTAGGAACCTGGGCACTAAATTCTAATTGTTGTATTATTAGGACTAATTGTGTACACTCAGCCCTGACAGACATAAAGGCTCTGGACTTCATCTACATGCCGTCAATTTATTTTTATCCCATTTTCTGCCATACAAAGTGGACAGCCATTTTAGGGTTCTTTAGGCAAGTATATGAGTGTCTACAGTGCTTTGGGCTAACATTAAAATAATTCCTTCTTTGGTTTTTACTTTTTAGAAAAATAGTATAAATGAACTTCAAGAGTCTTCTCAAAGCCCCTTAAATTTCTTCATTTAAAAATTGGGATAAGACACACTTTCTAGATGACACTGTGACTATCCAATTGGACAAAGTATAGAAACATACATTAAAAAATACAAAGTGCTTTATAAAAGAAGGGGTAATTCTGTTTACAGTATGTACACATCCCATTCCATTTATTCCTTCAGCAAATATTTATTAAGCACTATGTGCCGGGTCCTATGCTAGACACCTATGGACATAAAGTGGTGTTAAATGACATCCGACTTCCAGGAATTTACAACAAAATCTGTACCTGATCCTGGCAACTGTGCACCCCCACCTCCCAATAAAACAAAACAAAACACTGGGCAAGTTTCCTTGTCATATTCTGTCATAGCACTTTGTACTTCTTTCCTTCCTTTCCATTAGCAGTTACATAGGTTGTTCGTTTCAGTTAAATAGTTGAGTAATTAATTAACTGCTTCTAGAATTTTAGCTCCATGGGAACAAGCATTTAATCTTTCTTGTTCTCTGCTTTATGCTCCATGCCTCGCCTGTCTGGAATAGAAACGACGAGCAGCACAGTTGTTGAATGGGTGGATGAGTGAATGAATGGAAAATCAAATGCAGGTCGACAGAGAGCATAAGTGTGTACCACAGCACGGCGCGCGCTGTGTTAGGCGTGCATGGCACCGCGGCAATTTGTAGGTGGAGCATTTCAAGCTAACCTTGACGGAGAAGAAATTAATCTTCGCAAACTCGGACACTTGCATGACTCCGTCCCCCACTGGCCTGCCACTGGTTTAACAGGGATTATTTCTGAAATATCAGGGCCGTGCCAACAGCAAGGCATCAATAAGACTGGTCAAATGACAAAGGCCGAGGTGGACAACATCCAATGAGACGCTCTTTAGCTAAAAGCCACAACGAATAAAAGCGCTCGATCCCGGGCGGAGGCGCAAAAGCCCGACTGAAGTCGCTCAGAGGCTTCCACGTCTGCGGCACCCGCCGACAGCCGCTGGTCACGTGACTCGGGTCGCGGCCGCCGGGGCCGTTCTGCGCACGCGCAGTGCGGTGGAGCGGCGGACCCGCGTGCGCTGACAGCTTCCGGTTTGGTTTCCCCGCCCCTCCGTGGCTGAAGCTGTCGGGGCCGGGCCGTGGCGGCCGAGGGGTGGCGGGGGGCAGGGCGTGGTCAGGTGAGGTGAGTGCACCAGCAGGGCTCCCCGGAGCCATGGCCTGCTCCATTGTCCAGTTCTGCTACTTCCAGGACCTCCAGGCCGCCCGCGACTTCCTCTTCCCTCACCTGCGGGAGGAGACCCCCATCGGCGCCCTGCGGAGGGACCCCAGTAAGTGCCCCCCAGCTTCGCCGCTCCCTTTCCCGGCGGGTTCGGGTCTCCGTCCGGCTCCGCCGCCTCCGCCCGGGGGACTTCTGCTTCCCCCCACGCCTTCCAGCGATGATGCCCTGCCGTCCTCATCCTGTAGCCCCCTCCGCGCTGGCCGAGTCGGTGTCGCCTTCCTGTCGCCCCAGCTTTCTCCTAAACACCTCGCCCTCCGGCCAGAGACTGCGTCCTGCTTCCTCTTGTCGCTGCCCACTCCTAGCTCTGTCCCCGCGTCTCTCCCCGTCTCCCTTTCCTTCCCACCCGGTGTTGCCTGTTCCGCGATCGCCTCTCCTCCCCGGGGAGTCCTTGCCAGCTGTCGGCGGGCGCTGCACCCTGATATTGGCCTTCACCCCGGCTCCTCCATTCCTGGGTCTGTGGCTTTCGGCTGCATGCCCTTCCCAAAGGGTTTGTTGTTGCCCACAGCTCTTTTCGCCCATTCCCTTCCCCTGCCCCCCCTTCAGATTTAGAGAGTAGATGGCTGATAGACAAGCGAGTGACTCCTAAGGTGGTGACTTCAGCGGCTCCTAAAACAGGGTAATAACGTGTCAGGAGGTGAGCGAGAAATCTACAGCAAGAACTAAGGTGACACGAAACGTGTCATTTACGTGTAAATTACAGTAACGCGGCCATGAAAAGTTCTGGTGTTTCATTGAGGTGAGAAGCCTTCCACCTATTATTATCATCAAAGAGTGTGAAGCCTTGGCCCACGGAGTATAAAATCCTGAGTCCGGTTTATCAGATCCTGCCTAGTTCCTCAGAATTTCTCACGGGTCTCCTACGGAAAGAAAGGGTGTGTGTGTGTTTTGTGTTCGCTTTTTTCCTATTTCCGATCTGAAGCACATTTAGCCTTGTAGTGCCGCGTTGTTACTTTGGGCTCTGCTGGACTGGTGATAAACTGCCCACTACATAAGTTCCTCCCTGTTTCTTAAATTTAGAAGCTATCAAATCAAAGCTATCTGTAAGTATTTCCTCTAGTGCTACAAATCAAGTAAGATCGGTGGTCTCTGCCCTCTACGAGCCTATAATTTACTGGGACAAATACAGTAGCAGCTACTGTGCGATGCGACCGAGATATGTACATATATAGATATGCATACTGCATATTTACACACAAATATGCTAGGGCATACTTCCTGGAGGTGGTGCTACTTAAGCCTGCCTCCGGAGTGCCAGTGAAATGAATAAGGGAGAGGTGACAACGTGTGCGGAGGAAGGGGGGCCTGGCCTGGCATGTTATTGAGAGACCTGAGAAAACCTGAAAGAGAAGAACAGGGAGCTGGATCATGAGAAACCTTGTGAGAGCAGAGGGGTGCCCCTGAGGCACCTGAAGCCGAGAAATGACACGGTCAGATGGGAACTCCGTGCGGTCAGTAAAGTTTTTGAGTTGCTACTGTGTGCTTTGACAGCTGTGTGCAGGAGAGGTGGGGACGCAGGTAAATGGGATGGGAGACAATTGCATTAATCCATGCGAGAAGAGATGGGAGCTTGAACTAGAATAGGCTGAGCAGTACTTGAAAGGCAGGGCTAGATTAGAGCGCTGTTAGGGAGGTAGAGCCTGCAGGACCTAGGGGTGATGGGGTGATGGGGGCTGTTACAGCTGGTGAGTGAGAGGGGGTTAAGGATGCCTCTGGGCTTCTGATCTGAGCAAGGGTATGGAGAGAGAGAGAGAATGAAGCAGATAGGTTTTAGACCTTTTGCATGTTAAATGTTTGTAGTATGTCCAAGTGGGGGGGTCCAGTCGAACACCAGATAAAGGGCCTGAAACTTAATAAGGATTCCTGGGCCAGAGATGTTAATTTGAGAGTTACCAGCAAAAGGTGTCAAATCAGTTTGAAGGATTATGTGTACAGTCATGCCTCGTGCATTGTTGTGTGACCATCATCAAGGGCTCCTGCACAGACCCAGATGGCACAGCCTGCTACTGTAATTGTGTGCCACACTTTTATACGACTGGCAGTAAAGGGAGTTTGTTTACTCAAACTTGGGAGTAATGCACTGTGCTGTGACATTAAGATGGCTACAGAGTTGCTAGGCAATGGGAATGCTCCAGCTCTGTCATCGTCTTATGGGACCACCATCATATATGAGGTCCGTCATTGACGGAAACAACTTTTGCGGTGAGTGACTGCATAGTGACATGAACTGAGTAGCGAAGTGTTAAGAGCCAAGTGGAGGTCAATTGGAAGAAGAATGAGAAAGAGTTACAGAGGAAAACCAGGTGAGCGTCTCGCCCCAGCAGCTGAGGCAGGAGAGACTTTGACAAAAGACAAGAGTGGCCAGTGGTGGCAAATGCAGCAGAAGTCAGCTAAGATGAGGACAGAAATGTGCTCATGGGTTTTGGGGAGGTGGAAGTGACTGGGAGCTCAGAGCAGTTCCGGTGGAACGGTGGGCGCACAAAGCACATTCACAGCGTTTTGTGGAGTTAGTGTAGTTGACTGTTTCAAGGATCCAGGTTGTGAAGGATAGTAAATGCGGGACTCTAGACAGGGGATGCAGAGAAAAGGAACACACTTTGTGTGTCTCTGCTCTCCGCTGGCCATTGGCACCGTCTTCTTACAGGTCTTCTTGTGTCCACTCTTGGTTTCTTGTAATTCGTTCCCAAAAGCCGTCAGAGCGAGCTCTTAAAGACCTAGATAGTGTAGATCTCAGCATTCCCGTCTTTATAACTCTCTGTGCTTGCAAGTGCGCTTCATATAAAATCCAAAATTCTTGCCTGGCTTACAAGACTCTTGAGGCCCTGCCTCCTGCCGCTTCCGGCACTGCATGCTCCTCTCCCTTATTTCTTATGCTTCAGACATACCTTGTGTTGTCAAACCAGCCAAGCTCATTTGCACCTGAGGTCTTTGTCCTTGCCCTTGTGTCTGCCGTGGATGCTGTCTGCAGGTCTGGGCATGCCAGCTGCACCTTGTCCTGCAGGTCTCAACTCAGACCTCAGCGTCTCAGGGAGGCCTTTCCCACCATCTGATCTAAAGTAGTCACTCTCGCCTCCTTGGGCCTCATCTGTTCCTCTCTATCATATCCTCTTGTTTATTTTCATCACTGTGTCTGTTGTCCAGTATGGCAATCTCCACCACATCGGGCTGGCGAGCCCTTGAAATGTGGCAAATACTACTGAGGAAAAGAATTTTTAATTGTACTTAATTTAAATAGCCTAATGTGGCCAATGGCTACCATGTTGTATGGCACAGTTAGAGGTGCTAAAATTTAGGCGCATACTGATTGAATAGTTGTCCAAGGTCACACAGAGAAGGGTAGCCTTAGGATGTGAACTCAATGCAGGCGTTGGGATATAATCACACCCCACACATCTAGGCTGATTTGCAATATGCCTATGAGTTTGCAAATATTCAATTTATTACTCTTTTAAATCAAGTTCTTAGGTTTATGTTTGTTGGTATTATTGTGGCTACCATCAATTCAGGTAGAAAATAAATAGAGAAAGAACCTCTTAATGAGTAAGCCCCTTTGCCAAACCTATATTTTTACAGTGAAAACAGTGCTTTAATGTACAGATAAAAGTCAGTAAAATAGCTTGACCCGCTATAGATAGTTCACTTGGAATTCTCGGATTCCAAGGCCATGGATAGCTTACTTGGAATTCTAGGAATGGCTGGGGCCGTGGATTCCAGTGGGCACTCCTTTTGCAAAACATCAGGTGTTGTAAAGAGCTCTTTATCAGAATTTGTGGCAGCTGTATGTTGTTTTTCTCAGTTATCTGCTTCTAACATAATTACAGTAAGTCAAGAAAAAAGACAGATTTTAATACTGAAAGCTTTATGATTTTTTTCCAGTTCATATCTCTTTTGCAGAAGAATTTTTGACCTGGTAATAAAAATCTGTATTACATTAGAATAGCATTCTTTGCAGGAAATGGAGTGGGAAATGGAAGGAGAAATAAGATGTTATAAAATTACTCTTAGAGAAGATCATCATATTTCTTAATGAATGTGGGTGGTGTCATTTCCTGATAGTATTCAGAATCCACTAAGTTTAAAAGGATGCTATAAATGTATATTAAATTGTCTGTGTTTAAAGTATATAAGAAATTACATCTCTTATGCAAAGGATACATACTAGGGAAGAACTCTTTGGGGGTATCTGTAAGCAAAAAGTTTGAAGACATTCTTTTATTGGACTCAGGCATTCCCAACCTTTTTTTTTTTTTTTTGCATCATAGCATACATAAAAAAATGAGAATGGACCCTGAATAGTGAAAATAATTTTGAAAAAGAATAAAAATGTTGGGGACTCATACTTCTTGATCTCAAAACATATTGCAAAGCTACAGTAATCAAACTTGTATGGTGCTGGCATAAAGACAGACAAATAGACCAGTGGAATAGAATAGAAGGCTCAGAAGCAAACCCTTGCATATGTGGTCAAAGGATCTTTGACAGGAATACCAGACCACTCAGTGGAGAAAACTGCACGTCCATGTACAAAGGAATGAAGTTGGACCCTTACCATACACCATGTACAATAATTAACTCAAAATGGTATTCCTTTCCATGGTATGTATGCCAATGTACATAGATACTTGTCATCATTTTATGTCATCTTCTTTGACTTTTGCTCTTCTAATAAATGAAAAGGTGGTTCTCATGTGGTATTAAGATCATTATCAAACTTCATCTGTATTTTTTTTAAAGCAGAAAGTAATAGCAAGGTTAAGCTGGTATTGGAAGAATTTAGTTTAAGGAAAGATTTCTTGTAGGGACAGAATATTAAAATGGATTTAATAAGGAAGGTGTCAGATTGGCTTCTTTAGAATATGCAGACATTAGCTTTAGCTGGCAGTGTTCACATACCTTCAGCTACCTTTCATAGTGGCCCGCCTTCCCTCACCTTATTAGCTATGCATGTCTATGTCTGTGGTTTTGGATATAATAAATCAACTTAAGAAGTTGTAGGAAACAATTATAAGAAATGTATAAGTTCTTTGTAATTACATCCTATATTATTGCCCT